AAAATTTTACATTATATTATAGAATTTAACGATACAGTCATGAAATGATAAAATAACCTAAGGTTAATGAATTTAGTATTAAATGATTATATATTACTAAATATTTCAAATAATTTTACTCTACATAAAAGAAATCTAAGAGTAAATTTAGATAAAGAAACTTACTTCCTTAACTGTATAGCAATATTTACTAACAGTTTTAATGTGTAAAATTAATTTTATTGGTGTTTACATTTCCGTTAAATCACTTAAATTGGGTAACTATTAATACAAACTGTTAACCACTCTTGCATAATTATTTTTCATTTCTACTCAAAATAATTCACTTTGTAGAAATTGTTTAAACTTTTTCGACTTGTATTTCTGACGTTTTGTTTGTTTCTGTAATTTTTTTATCGTCATAGGTATTTTCTTCTTCAATTGTATTCACTTCTTTGCTGGTTTCGTCATCTTTCTTGTCGTTAATTGTTATATCTCGAATAGATCGCCTAGGACATGGTCGCCACTGACCTTTTGGAGGGAAGTTTTTGGTTTTAGTCAACAATCGAGTTCCAGTCAGAGTTATTAATAGGGCGCCTGTAGGAGCTGTTAACAAGATAGCTAATATACAAATCATAACAATAGTTTGAGCAAACTTAACGTTCTCTAGATTTCCATCTTCTTTTGTCATTTCTAACACAGCTGGTACTAAAGCAGCTTATAAATCAAAATATACAATCAACTAGCAGTTTTTAATCTAACAAAGAAGAAAATACAAATATGTTTTTTTTACTTTATTGAAATTATATTTTTACAAAAATTACACCTCAAATAATATAAATACTGAATATTAATTAGATTCATTTAAATAATAATATTATCTCTCTATAGAAAATAATAATAGAATAAATAATTATGACTGATTCAGAATGTAAAATGGTATCGGGAGAGAGTATACATATTATGAAAAGCTAAAGAACTGAGCTAAATAATAAGCATGGACTGGTGATAAAGTATGACCAATATAAGACGACAAAATTTAATTATAAAATTTCTGGTAAAATTTAAAATTATCATATTTAACATATTTTACACTTAAAACAATTGTAATGTAAAAATTAAATAATTTCAGGTTTCAAAACCTCTTAAATAAACATAATAATTCAAATACTTTTTCAGTATCTATTATTTTAGCTTCGATAGGAAGCTGAGAAGGTATTGGTTTTACTATAATGTGTTTTTTTTTCGTCTGTTCACTTTTTCTCAACTCTAAGCAAGCGAAATGAGATAAATCTCTAAAAAAAATTATAAATTTAAAAATCGTTAAATTTCGACATTTATTCAATTTTTTTTAAATTAAAACTACTATAACATTTTTAAAAATTATCAAATCAACATATTTATTTTTTTTAGATACATGAGATATTTACCTATTGTTTTGTACATTTTTTTATACATCTGACCCTTTACCTGTCGACGCGGGGGAATTCATAATGACAACTATTTCACCAAAAATTAACTTTTTCAACTTAACTTTTGAAAATGGCACGAAAATACTGACACTTGTATATAAATACATCTTAAATTAAAGCTTATGTAATATACTTAATTATAAAAAAAAAAATTCGATCTTCATTTTGTCTTCGTGGTAAAAATGGCTACCGTATTCAAAACTGTACTATTTTTGTATTAAAATTCTAGATTTTGTATTTTATTTAATTTTAATAGACCTTGTTACGACGTACGTTATCATATAGTTTTTATTAGTATTATTATTGTGATGAGCAGACGATCGGTTTTACTCAGCGGAGATAACCCAGTCTCCTAATAAATGCCTCACTATGCACATAAACAGGCACGTAGACAGAAAATGTTTATTGGAGGGGCCAACAATTTTGTATTGTTTTGTATCATTTTCCATAATTTGTTTCCCATGAAAAGCTTGTGGGGGGCTCCCTCCACTCCTCCTTAGACAGTATCCCATTCTATTAATCTTACAAGTTCAAAATTTTACCATTGGTTGGTTAAAAACAAATTTTTTTCGTATAAAGTATACTAATTATTACAGTATTATAAAAAATTGATAGTACCTATAATTAAAAAAAAAAAAAAAATACTTTCATCTTAACTATCGGGATGAATTTTTCATATTGTGAAAAATAAATAAAATAATGATGTGAACATAAGCTGATTTAATTTTTCAACTTTTAAGCTATTAAGAAAAAATAATTTATACCTAAATACTAATAACAAATAAGTTGTAAATAATTGTTAAAATAAATATAAATCATAAACAATGTAAAATTTATTTTATTTAAAATTAAAAACAATTCCTGCCTTTTTCAGTCATATTTTTATTACTATTATTTAGAGAACGCAAATAACAAATTAACAAAAACAAATAAATTACCTATTGTAACTACTAAATTATAAAAAAAGAAACAGATTAAAGATAACATTTATCAAAAAAATTTTCATAAATTATTACTCTATCGAATTTTGTAATCAACTAGATTCTATTCAATACAGATATTTGGTAGTTTGTTATCATTTGTTGGTGGAACAGAGTTAAAAAAAATTTACCTACGACCACATTTGGAGTAACTGCTATTCCATTTAATATTATTACGTCAGAACGTTATCTTTTTCAAATAACGTTTTCTATGAATATAAAAATGAAAATACAGCCATATTATTATGGCTGTATTACCCAATAGTAATCACAAATTAATAATAATTTCAATGTATTAAGGCCTAACACGTTTTTGATGATTCGTAAAAATAAATGAATTTTAAATTGGGGGAGCCGGTCCTGGGTCACATTAAATCTGAGGGGGCCCGGCCCACCCATATCTACGTGCCTGCACATATAGCAAAATTTCGTTTTATTAATTTATAGTTAAGCTACCTAAGTAATCTTCTTCTCGTAAAAAGAAAAATACAGTCCACATTCGCAATATTTGTTCCAATTACGTGCCGTTAGATATGTGGAATGAAATTCAACAGGTCCAGTCCGCCATG